ACCCTCTCGTCTCTCAGGTCAGCTGATCAGCTGCTCCTGAGTGCACTGAAGTGTAAGCTCAGCGAACACAATGCTTTTGCTGTGGCAGCTCCTAAATTATGAAATGACCTTCCCTTCAACATCAGACCAGCCTCTTCCCTGTCTGTTTTGAAATCCCTTCTTAAAACCCATCTCTTCTCTCTGGCATTTGACACCATCTGTAATGTTGACTTTACTTAACTTTTGACCAATTGTTTGATTGTTTTATTAGGTGTACAGGGCCTCTGGGTGTTTAACAGTCTCTATAAATAAAGCTGGTATGGTATGGTATGGTATGGTATGGTATGGTATGGTGGAGAAGAGGCATGGTATGATGGGAATGGTGGCGCAAAGATTAGAGAAGATGGGCCAGTGATCGGAAAGTCGCAGCTTCAACCCCCACCCCCCCCCACCCCATATTGACAATGTCAAAATGTAGGTGGAAAAGGTGAAACACCCACACCTGCCTCCACCCTCATTTACCCCATTCTGAGCCCTTGAGCAAGGCCCTTAACCCCCATCATCTGCTCCCAAAAACAGGTCTCTCTTGAAAATGAGTTATCGTGACTCAATTAGACTACCTGTATGAACAAAGGGTAAATAAAATAAAAATAAACAAATGGTATGGTATGGTATGGTATGGTATGGTAGAGAACAAAATTTCAATTTAAAGTATGTTAAACAACTTGGTCTGTTCTAAAAAAGTTAAGTCTGGTTCTCTGGACATTCAAAAAACAAAACAAACAAACAAAAAAAAGTAGAAATGTTTTGTCTTTTATCCAAAAGATTTCTTCAGACTTACTTTTACTAAAAGCATTAAATGTAAAATGTTGACCAAAACAGCTGCTTGTGCTCGTGTTTATTAATTGATTAAATGGAAAACTAACAGAACAACACTTCTTTTCTGAAAAGTTTGAGTTTACTATCAGGCGGCTACGCGGCAGGTGATGAGTGAGTGGTTTGCTTGGTTTGTTACAATTTTCTAATTTGCTGGGACACATTATTTAGTTCATAGCATTTGTTGTTTCAAATAGAATTAAAACTACACATTGCAGCTACAAACCAGTAAGTTTGTAACTCACTGTTTAAACAGCTGATCAGGACAGATGCTGTGTAGCATGTAGCATTTAGCATTTAGTGGTCTGTGTTGCATGTTTTAATTGTCATGTTGAATAACAATCATCTTACCACTTCAAATGACATGCTTCTATTTTTTTGTATTTTTACTGCATTAAACAAGAATATTGCACAAAAGCATGACATGTAAAGTTCCTGTTAATAGCTGAAAATGCCCCCTGCTGAGAAAAAGCACAGCCTTTTTGAGCAGTTTCTAGCAATAATAATGTCTCTTCAGTTAAATTTGCAAGCAAACTGCAGATCAACACATGTGGCTGCTAAGGCCTTGTGCTTTAATTGTCAGGACATGTGGATGATGGGTTGTTGGACACAGCCAAATATGAAGAAGGCAGTTTCAGAAACTCTGCGATACTCTTTAATAACTGAACTTAACAGAGGAACTGAGAACACAACAGAATGTGAAGAATAAAACAGACCATCTAACGAAGACTGAATAAAATTAAGGAGCATGTGTACCCTTGAACAGTGGGGCCAGGATAGCTTGGGGTCAGTACCAGCCTTGTTGGCTGTGGATTGGAGCACATGTTGCATCAGGAATAACAAATTGACAAATTATCTGTGAGAATACTCTCACTTTGATGAAAAGAAGGGAGCAGCCAAAAGAAAAATAACACATGTCCCCAATAAGGTGATTATTTCATGACACCGGTTGTGCTATATATGATTACTGATGGTGATGATAAGGGACAGCAATGGAGATAAAATAAAGCACCAACTATGAGCCAAATGAAACATCTAAAATGCCAACAATCATAGAAGTAGATTAAAAATAATTTAAAAACTACAGGAAAAAATAAACGGTGACACTAATAAATGTGAGATTGTTTGATCACCGGTAATGCTAATCCTAATGTTTGTTTTTCCTGTTATTTGTCTATTATCATATAATAAATATATTGTTTTAGAGAAAGATCTCGACCTCAAAATGTTTGTAGATGAGAAAAACAAGTCTTTTTGAAACTTTATCTGCACTCGTGAAAGATTCAAGGCTCTCCAGACCATTATTTTTCAATAACGTTGAAAAAAAAAAGTACTTTGTGATCAATCTGCAAAATATTTTCCATTAAAATCACTCACTTTCCCTTTCCTATCTCTCCTCAGACTCATACTGAATTTGAATGTCAGCTGCTTCCTGTTTTTTGGAAAAAAAAAAAAAAAGAAGAAGAACCAGAACAAACACTAATGACTGATGCATCAGCAGTTCATTAATCACTGTCTCACGTATGAGGGCTGATTTTTCGATTTCAATCCCTTCTTTTTCTCGACATGAACAAGCTGCTCTGTTGTGAGGAGACAATGAGCAGTTGTCCCACTTTGTTTTCTCTGTTCGCAGCTATTTAATTAGGCTACGTCTCGGTCATTTCTCTGTGTCACACAGCACTGCCTCCCATCTCCAACAAGCTCTACACATGAATACTATAAATACACAACAGCATAATGTCTTATCAATACCCCACTGGAAAATATATTGTCACTATTAGGAGTGGGCCCACTTGATCTGAATATTAAATGCTTGCTCCTTCAGGGCTGTTTATAGACTCTTTATATCTGAGTACCTTTGGTTTGTCATTGAATATTAAAATTAGAAGTGTTTTACTTTGTATCAAAAGATTACAGGGACTAGTGTTGAGGATTATAGAGGGAGGTAAATTATCCTTCGCATGCACAGTCTGTTACAGAGATGTCAGGCCTTATAATAACTTTTTCATGCTTCAATTATGGCTGCGAGTTTGTGAAATGCAGAATATGTGTGCAATGTGTGTGTGTGACGAGATAATTTAGGGTTGCTATTCATGGTGTCTGTAACGTGAATGAAAAAAAATAAAATCAACTTTAGTGTTCCAATAATCGTTTTTTAAGTGCTGTTGCTTTTCCAAATTTGTCTCATCAAAGGGAGATTGAAGGAAGTTTACGATTAGACGTCTTCAAAGTTCATGCTCAATCATCCTACAAAATCCAATAATGCTCAGTCAGGTCATCTGCACGGTTTCTTTATCTTTTTATTTTTTATTTTTTTGTGGAAAGACATTTCGCCCTCTATCCGGAGGACTTCATCAGTCTGAGGAGTCCCAAGTAAACTGTTTCCCCACTAAACTCCTTAAGTGGACCAACCAGTTTGCTGGAGATAAGATGGTTTCTGGGGGTTGTTCTGTCCCCCGTTGACTCCTCCCAGGCAGGTAACAACAACCAAAGTGGTTCAAGACATCAAAGTTCATGCTCATTCATCCAGGTACAAAATCCAATAATTGTCAATCAGGTCTTCTGGACAGTTTCATTTTTGTGGAAAGACGTTTCGCCCTCTATCCAGAGGGCTTCTTCAGTCTGAGGAGGCCCAAGTACATTGTTTTCCCACTAAGCAGTACACTCCATCAGGGTCTTTGGTTCACTTTTCACAGCATCTTTCCTGAAAACTTTGACATCAACTGTTAGATTCAACCCTGTTTCTCTTATATGTCTTATACATTTATGGACATAAACTCAGAAATTCTTTTTTTGACTTGTGCCATATTATCTTTTGGACTCAGCTAATCAACTGAACCATAGCTATACGTCAATGATTTTTATACAAAATGAGCTAAACTTTGGCTGATAGTCATTCACAACCCACAGTCCAAGTGCAAATAGATCATACAAGATCAATCCAAATCACGAGATAATGCATAAAGTTATTATCAGGGTTTGACCAAAACAGTTAATATTTTGTTGCCATCAGAATTTTTTTAAAGTTGATAGTTGGTTTTCTCATAGCTGATAACTTGCTTTACTAGAGATTAATACATTTGTGGAATTTTGTGATTATTCCGCTGTAAAAGGCCACAATCGGCATGAAAGCCTGGTAAAAATAGGTCATATGAAACTGCGTCCACAAAAGACCTACAAGACTGTTTGTTTCGTGAGGAAACTATCACAATCTCATGTGGAATCTGTTGATCGTTTTTAATGCTTTTAAATTATTTGGCATTTCCCACTTACCCTTGGTGTCTCATTCCTTCTGCTAATAGCTGTTTGTCATCTACAGCAATATTCCATTCCCTTGTAACTTTTTACCAAGCCCTCTAGAAAGATCCCAAAACAATCAGGAGCCACTGTGCCTCAGTGAAGCCAACGCTGTTCAGTAAATGGGTCGTCATTACGTACGGGGAGCCTTGCTATTGATCTATGTCACTTACCTCTGATGAGCGCTGATCATAACCCTATTTAAAATCGGCCTTTGTGAATTAGCTGTCAGATCATGGCAGTGGAGGAGAAGGGGTCTGTGGCACAGCTGAGACAAATAAAAAGGCAAAGGAAAGGCGGGAACAAGAACACTGGAGTATCCTGATGCATGCTCAATAATCCAGGTAGAAAAATCCAAAAAAGTTCAATCTGGTCCTCTGGACATTCAAAAAAACAAAAAACAAAACAAAGCAAAAAAATCTAGAAACGTTTCGTCTCTCATCCAAGAGACTTCCTCAGTCTGAGGTGCTGTTTTCAGCTCAGTCTCTTAAATAGCACCTTCACAGAGTGGATCAACTGGATCAAGAACACTGGAGCTTCCAATGGAGAATCACATAAATAAATAAATAAAAACAATAAGAATTAGAAAGAAAGAAAAAGACAAATGCATCATCCCCATGTGAATGTCTTCCAATACTGTGATTGCCTGGCATGTTATTAAAATGTACTGTATATATGAGGAGTGTTGCAGCTGAGAATGATGAGAATGTATGAACGTAGCAACAAGGAATCCACAAACAGAACACAGAGGTGTCTGCGCTTATATGCAGCTTTAGAATACTCCAAGTCCTTCAGATGCCTCAATGATCGCTGCTGAACTGTGTCTCTACTGTTTATTTCCCTTGCAGGACTGGCTGAGTAAGTTCGGCTACCTCCCACCCCCTGACCCAGTGACTGGCCAGCTGCAGACCAAGGAGGCCCTGACCAAAGCCATCAAAGCCATGCAGAGGTTTGGAGGGTTAAAGGAGACTGGAGTTTTAGGTATTTGTCCATTTTTAAGTGGAGCATGTGACCTACTTTATTTATTTATGTATTGCTCAGTTGAGTCAAAATATAATGAGGAACTAATGAGAGTTCTGGCCTAGAATGTTAAAGTTGAGTCAGCACCCTCTTTGCATTACAGACCAAGCCACTTTGGGACTAATGAAAACACCAAGATGTTCGCTGCCAGATGTGTCTCAAGCTGAGGCGACGAAACGCAGGAAAAGAAGTCTGATTCCTCCAAATAAATGGAATAAGAGGCATCTTTCCTGGAGGTAGGAACCACCAACAAATGATGTGCATCTTGATGCAACTCAGAGTTGTGCATCATCTGATAACGTAAAGTGAATTAAATCAATTCAAGCTCCCATTTTAATTTAAAAAATATAAAAAAAAATGTTTTTTAATAAAAGGAAAACTGCATTTTTTTTTTTTTTTTATTAATCTCATTGCTTGCTCTCCTCTATCATTTTGATTTAATGATGCAGCTCAGGGAAGGAGTCACTTCTTATTGTAGCTATTTCATTTCTTATTTACTGATATTTTGTCTGACGTCTTGGGCAGACCACCTTTCTAAAAGAGATCTTGAGCTCAGCTGTTTTCTTTTTTTATCTTGTCAAACAAATGTAATGAAGTGAAGGTCATGAAATGTCAGTTTGGTTGACCTAAAAGTTTTTGGTCACTATTTTTGTTTAAACAAAGTACCACTCGACGAACAGAAGTCTCAGTTCAGTTTCAGTGTATCACATCATTCTCACACGTCAACAACAATGTGTCAGTCCCAACACACCACCCCTCATCTCAGCGTCGTTTCATTGAGTTAATTAATTAACTTTTCCTTGTGCTCAAATCTTCACTTAGATACGTTCCGGCTCTAATGAAGGACGCTTCATTCCTGTGAGACTCTGACCAATTTAAGGAATTCTCTGTTAATTCATCCTAGTTTATCTTAAACTAATTTCCCAATTCCAGTGGACTCAAATGGTGACGCAAAGCTAAAATATAACGTAGCTAAAGTCACAGATCCCCCTGCAGGGTAATTATTCTGTTTTCATTGTGGAACCTAATTCCAAACTGAATTAGTTATAGCTAAATTCACTCATTAGAAAGCCCATTCATTCAGTCGTATAACCAGTTTAATACCACCAGTTCCTCAAACACTGACAATTTAGAGAAATAGTTTGGAGAAAGAGTTTATTTTTAAGGCGATTGACAAAATAATGGTAAAGGCAGGATCTCACTAGGCTGGTATTTTTGGAAACTAATTGGTGACTCAAACTTGACTTAATATTGTAAAAATGCAATATTTTTCCACTGCAGTCTCACTAAATTCTGGGTGTTTGCTAACAAACAACCAGTGAGCAGTGCAGCCACATTTTAAGTAGCCACATGTTAAAAATTGTTGTTTGTTTTTATATGTAAGGGTTACATAACTGTGTTCAAAGCTGTTCATAGTATTTCACTACCCACTTTGACCCACATCATCCCCAATTTAACAGCTGCTCAAAAACTAAGCGTTAATTTCCTGGAATACACTGAAATGAAGATACGTAGATTTAGACCAACTAGTCAAAATACGTTAAGAAGTATTTAAAAAATAAAATAAGTAACCTCACAACTCATTGAAGTCATCCTCCAAACCTTTTTACTACCCTACATTTTGCAAATCAATGGTATACTGACAAAAAAATAAAATAAAATACAAGATTCCAGCGGAAAGGACAATGGCTGTGCCACAAGTGCTGCAGCTTGCACTGTTTGTGCTTGAAAATATATATCGATCTATAAACATACAAACTCCACCCAGAAGGGCCCCCAGACCAGGATTTGAACCAGGGACCTTCTTGCTGAGAGGCAGCTGCTCTACCAGTTGCACCACTGTGCTGCCCTAAAGAAAAACCTATTTTATTTAATGTAAAATAAATAGTTGGTTGTTTTTATTTTAATTACATTAACATTTTAATAACTGATTCAACAATAAGTTAATAGAGAACATATTATAGACACATTTATGTTTGAAAACATATATTTGAGCAAAGCCTAGAAAAATACTAAAGGCCTAAGATTCCTTGGAGGAATACGTCTTTCGCTGTAGTTCATGCTGGAATTTTAGACTAAAATCATTTTGCGCTAAGAAATGAAGAAGTTCGAGCTATTTTGGTCCAATATTTGAAAATAATATTAAAAATCAAACAATAAAATGGGATCTCACATGATCTATTAGCACTTGGAGTGTGAGTATATGTCTCAGTTACAATCACGCCAGATTTTAGCTCAATATCTGTGAATTTCACAAAGGTCTAAGCATCTTTGTGCAAGTTAATGTTGATTAGCTGTGGTGCCCATGTTGAATTGGATTGACTCGAAAAGTTTATCAGTTGTAAATGTCCATTCTTTGATTACTTCCTGAAAATTCCATTAAAATCCACATAGTGTTTCATTTTGCTAACATACACGGTTGATTCCAAGAGTTATCGGCGATAATTTAAACACAGTTTTTGCCAAATTAATTAGAACTCCTTGTATGAACTGGGGATTGGTCTCTTCTACTACCTCACTAAAGTTTACCTTAGTATCTGTAAAATTAATCGAGTTATAGCCAGTTTTGTGTTTACTAAGATCGCTTTGCTTCAGTGGCCATCTTGAATCAGGTTGACTCAAAAGTTGTCAACCAAATGATTACTTTTTGGAAGTTTCTTTAAATTCCATTCAGTAAAAAGTGTGTTATTTTACTAATGGTACAAAACAAACACATGCACATGGGCAAAAACATTCACGTTGCTGTCGCCTTCAGAAGCAGGTGATAATTAAATCCTGGCACTTTTTTGGTCTAAAATGATAGTTTTTAAGAAAGTGGTTTATCATCTGTATTCATCCATCATCAGTTTGCTGCATTTGGGTCACACCTGAAGTGGAAACCTAAAACCCCCTGAGTTCTGCTTTATTGCTTTTCTATTGACAGCAAATTCTCATCAGCTGTTAATTAATGCAGACCAGAGCTAATAATGCTCATTACAAGCTATTTTTCTAAGCTAGATGATTAATTCTGCACCGTAAAACGCAGATCTAAAAAGGAGTCAAAGGTTGTACATGGAAAGGGAGCTGTTTTCAGCCTTTCATTGGTGTCCGGAAAAAAAAAAAGAAACCAGCACAGAAATATATGTTAGCGCTTACAAAAATGAGAAAACATAGGCACCCTCTAAAATCTTGTGTATGTCATTGTCACAGAAGTGAAGTTGGTAGAACTGCCACCTCTCAGCGAGAAGGTCGCTGGAATGAATCCCGGCCGGGGGGCCTTTCTGGGTGGAGTTTGCATCTTCTCCGTGCATGCATGGGTTTTCTCCGAGTACTCTGGTTTCCTCCCACAGACCAAAAACATACATTAGGCTAATTGGTAACTAAATTGTCCCTAGGTGTGAGTGAGATAATGAATGGTTGTCTTGTTTGTCTCTGTATCCCTGTGATGGACTGGAGACCTGTCCAGATGTCCCCTGCCTCTCACACAGTAACTGCTGGGTATGGGCACCAGTGACCCCCGTGCTCCAAAATGGAATAAGTGGGTAAAGATAATGACTGGATGGTGAAATACACAAACAAATAGAGAAATAGGGAAAACTAGAACTCACACACAGATAAATATATACCCTCCTACATATAGGCCTGTGTGCTACGCCTTCCCCCCTGCTGGGGTTTTAACTTTCCTTTTCTTCTTTGTCCTGCTGCCAGTCATGCAGCTCTCCTGTCAGCTCACTACACTCGAAAAATAAGACAGCTGTGCCTTCAGTCCAGTGAAACGTCTTTGTATTCGCTGCACTCCGATTTGTAGACCTGAGCACAGGAACAGTTGTGGATTATGTTCCAGGTTCAAATCCACAGAGATTTTTGACACGGCACAGGTTTTAAGAAGCAAAAAAAAAAGCATTAATATTCTGCTCAGACTGGCCTCCTCTTTAGTCCTCGCTTCTTTTTCTTGTGTTTTAAATGGATGTTATTCTACTTTCACAGACCTCAACTCACACCTTGGGTTTATAAAGTAGAACTTGATATTTCTTCTTTTTTATGAGTTTTTGAGAGCAAAATAAAATATAAGGCATACTTCATAGTAAGAGCAAAAAGTAGGTTATGTTAAATGACAGATGAACACATGTAGCCTTTCAACCTCTTTCTTCTTCTTCTTTTGGCTTTTCCCTCTTCAGGGGTCTCCACAGTGAGTCATCCTCCTCCATCTCTGTCCTCTGCATCCTCTGTCCTCACTCCAACTACCTCCATGTCCTGTCACCACAAATCACAATGTCATCTGCAAACCTTTCAACCTCATTGGTTGGCATTAAAAACTCAATACAACTGAAATGAATTAATTGTATTTATTATTTATTTATAAATTTAAATTTAACAGGGTTTAATTAGTCACCCTATCTCCTCTCAAACTAAATTGTATGATTATTTCAGACTTTTTGTTGTTGTTGTTGCAGATGTAAACAGCTCAAACTTATAAGCATACGGTCGTTTTCTGCCATAGATGTGTCCTTTCTAATGTCGACGTACGATCAAAGATTTCTGTTACTCGAAAAGAACAAAACGTTTTATTTAGCTAATCACACATGTTCAGTCTCTGCATCGGTAGATGCAAAACCTGGTGCATTATGGGATTTCTTGATCCAGAAGCAAGAGGTCAAAAACATTATGTATGTACAAAGTATGTTTTAATTAAAATATCCCAATTTCTTATGGTAGGAAGCAACATCTCACCCACTCCTTTATTTGTTCTCATCACAACACAATTGACACAAGACAGAAAGGCATTTTAAACTCTGCCTATTCACACATGTCACACACATCATTATGTTCTGAATATGTGCAGTGTTCATGATGGGTGTTGAGTGTCAAATTATTTCACAGAAGGGAAAAAAGGATAAGTGGCTCAGCTGAACACCTCTTCATTTTGGGGACTTGAATTCAAACATTGAATATTTTTAAATAGAAATAAACCCTTTTTTGTTGTTCTTCAAGAGCTTCCATGACAAGGCTGAGTCTTAATCCCAATTTAACTCCGTCTTTTCATTTTCTCTTTTACGTACACCATGCTGCACTTGGCCGAGCGTGTCACCGACATTAAAAGCCGAGCTGTGTAATGGCTCGCCGTTAGCCCATTACCACACTTTGTTAGCCCATTATCACAGCAGACAGCCTGGCAGTGTTCAGCGGCTTTGACTGATAACTCGAACAGATAGCTGAAGCAAGCTGAGTGTAAGGGAGCAAATATGAAAAACGAAGAAATTAAAAAACAAAAGCAAGACCAGCTCATTTTTTATATATACAGGTCCTTCTCAAAAAATTAGCATATTGTGATAAAGGTCATTATTTTCTATAATGTAATGATAAAAATGAAGCTTTCATATATTTCAGATTCATTGCACACCAACTGAAATATTTCAGGTCTTTAATTGTTTTAATACTGATGATTATGGCATACAGCTCATGAAAACCCAAAATGCCTGTCACAAAAAATTAGCATATTTCATCCCACCAATGAAAGACAAGTGTTTTTAATACAAAAAACGCCAACCTTCAAATAATCATGTTCAGTTATGCACTCAATACTTGGTCGGGAATCCTTTTGCATGAATGACTGCTTCAATGCGGCGTGGCATGGAGGCAATCAGCCTGTGGCACTGCTGAGGTGTTATGGAGGCCCAGGATGCTTTGATAGCGGCCTTAAGCTCATCCAGAGTGTTGGGTCTTGCGTCTCTCAACTTTCTCTTCACAATATCCCACAGGTTCTCTATGGGGTTCAGGTCAGGAGAGTTGGCAGGCCAATTGAGCACATTAATACCATGGTCAGTAAACCATTAACCAGTGGTTTTGGCACTGTGAGCAGGTGCCAGGTCATGCTGGAAAATGAAATCTTCATCTCCATAAAGCTTTTCAGCAGATGGAAGCATGAAGTGCTCAAAAATCTCCTGATAGCTAGCTGCATTGACCCTGCGCTTGATAAAACACAGTGGACCAACACCAGCAGATGACCTGGCACCCCAGTGACTGTGGAAACTTGACACTGGACCTCAAGCAATGTGAACTCTGTGTCTCCTCTCTTCCTCCAGACTCTGGGACCTTGATTTCCAAAGGAAATGCAAAATTTACTGTAATCAGAGAACATAACTTTGGACCACTCAGCAGCAGTCCCAGGCGAGATGCTTCTGACGCAGTCTCTTGTTCAAGTGGCTTGACCTGGGGAATGCGGCACCTGTAGCCCATTTCCTTCACACGCCTGTGCACGGTGGCTCTGGATGTTTCTACTCCAGACTCAGTCCACTGCTTCTGCAGGTCCCCCAAGGTCTGGAATCGGCCCTTCTCCACAATCCTCCTCAGGGTCCGGTCACCTCTTCTCGTTGTGCAGCGTTTTCTGCCACACTTTTCCCTTCCCACAGACTTCCCACTGAGGTGCCTTGATACAGCACTCTGGGAACAGCCTATTCGTTCAGCAATTTCTTTCTGTGTCTTACCCTCTTGCTTGAGGGTGTCAATGATGGCCTTCTGGACAGCAGTCAGGTCGGCAGTCTTACCCATGATTGCGGTTTTGAGTAATGAACAAGGCTGGGAGTTTTTAAAAGCCTTAGGAATCTTTTGCAGGTGTTTAGAGTTACGTCGTTGATTCAGATGGTTAGGTTAATAGCTTGTTTAGAGAACCTTTTCATGATATGCTAATTTTTTGGGACAGGCATTTTGAGTTTTCATGAGCTGTATGCCATAATCATCAGTATTAAAACAATTAAAGACCTGAAATATTTCAGTTGGTGTGCAATGAATCTGAAATATATGAAAGTTTCATTTTTATCATTACATTATGGAAAATAATGACCTTTATCACAATATGCTAATTTTTTGAGAAGGACCTGTATATATTTTTTTCATCCTAAGTTTAACTGACTCTAACCACTAGACTGGACTCTCACCAATAGTCATTTTTCTCCATATACAGTCTTTGCATGGTTACTTTGCAAGAAAACACATCAAGAGAAACTGAACAGAGACACTTTCGCCATAAAAATCCAGGGTTTTATATTAAATTTATGGTTTTTAAAGCCAGCTTTTTATTAGCCCTTCACTTCAAATCCTGTAGGGCATGTTCAAAAACACTAAAGCTATATTTTAAAGTTCAAGACGGTTGATAATGGCCATATTAAAGCCAGCCTTAGTCATAACTCAGCAGTAGGGATCCATCAGAGTACTAACAATGGAGAAATTTCAGAAATACCACACTTGTAACCAAAGGCACCATGAGGGTCATAAGACGTCAAACATAAATTGGATACCTTTATTAGCCAAGGTCACAGCATGAAATATATTTTGGTTCATTTAGCAAAGAATTTGAATAAATTATGTTGGGAATAATGTGGTTAACTTGGATTAGTTTGTTAAAAGCTAGTGGTCAACACTTAGGTCAGGGCTTAACTTGATCTGGGCTCTATAGAGAGCTTTATAATGAGTTCATCAGTTATACATACACTTAAATAAGACCTCCTTATGTATGGTATATTTACTTGCCATAGTATAAATATTCAACCCATTTTGCTCTACAGTAACAAATGAAGGTCATTCAAATGCATTTAGACCAAACAGATTCCTGCTACTCTTCAGAAGTGTTGCTTGAATACTTTTAACTGTGTTAGCAGTGACTGATTAAATGTGCTCATATTGGAATCTAAGCACAAATTGTCAAATACTATCAAAAATGTGGCTTCACAATTTACAGTCTTCAGAAATGTGGTCCGAATGCTGAATGACAAAAGATAAAAATGTTGTTGACCAATGAGCTACTGTATATTTGACTGAACTGTTAGTTAAAACAAGCTGAACATCAACTGAAATCGGCAAAACAGTAGCTAAAAGTAAAAAAAAAAAAAAAAGAACATAACTAAAAGTAAAACTTGCAAAACTTTTGCTCAAAGCGTAATAAAACAATAGATATAAATGATGAGTCTTGATGCCGTCGTTGTACCGTGATCTTCAGCTTTTACTGGAGCCGTTCACAGTCGAGTGTGACGCGGCTAGGATGAAGGTCAGCACCTCCAAATGTGAGGCCATGGTCCTCAGTCAGAAAAGAGTGGATAGCTCTCTCCAGGTTAGGGGAAAGGTGCTGCCTCAAGTGTCAAATATCTCAGGGTTTTGCTCATGAGTGAGGGAAGAGTGGAACGTGAGGTTGACAGACGGATCAGTGCGACTTCTGCAGTATTGAGGACACTGTACCGGTCCATTGTAGTGAAGAGTGAGCTCGGATGTAAGGCTACGTTCCTACCCTCACCTATGATCATGAACTCTGGGTTGTGACAAAAAGAACAAGATGGCAGATACAAACATCCAAAATGAGTCGTCGCCGCAGGGCGGAAGGACTCGCCTGTAGAGTGGTGATGTGAGAAGTTCAGTTAATCGGGAGAGGCAGGAGTAGAGCCACTGCTGTTCCACATTGAGAGGAGCCAGTTGAGGTGGTTCGGGCATCTGGTACAGATGTCCCCTGAACATCACTGTAGGTTTTACAAACATGTCCAACTGGAAGGAGATCCTGGTGAAGACCTAGGACACGCTGGAGAGACTGCGTCTCTCGGCTGGCCTGGTAACACCTTGGAATGCTTTTAGAAGAGCTAGAAAATTGGGTGAAGGAAGAGATGTCTGGGCCTCCCTGTTTAAGATGCTGCCCCCATGATCTCGCTATGGAACAGGATGGATGGATGGATGGATGGATGGATGGATGGATGGATGGATGGATGGATGGATGGATTTAAACAAAAAATTGTGAAATGATAGCTAAATACTGAAGTTAGGTAAGCAATAGCTAAAGAAGATTGAAGAGGCTGAAGAAGATGAAAGAGGAAGTGATGAGATCTCAGACTAGTTGTACGGGGTATTTTGTAAATAAAGTTTAGTAATTAACAAGGTAAAGTAGTTTTTCTTCTATTTCTTCTTTTGGCTATTCCCTCTTCTCGGGTCACCACAGCGACTCATCCTCCTTCATCTCACTTTTCCCTCACTCCAATACCTGTTCTCTCCAACTGCATACATAGAGCTTCTCTTTGATAATATGCCAATTAACATGCATATTATCAGCAAATTAACTGGTAATCAGTTAATTAGCTACTCTATATGACCCGAAGCATTAGCTTTCCCTCACCATTGAACTGCTTCAACAGCTAGTGAATATTTGGTTAGTTGTAATAGTGTGAGACTCGGTGTTCAGGGTCTGTTCACTTTAGATGCCTTGGAAACACGTTGGTGAGCTGCACTTTAGCCACATATGAGATCTGGTTTACTGCACAAACCTCTAGGGTGGAAAAGGTTTGAAACTATTAAAATGAGCTCATTGTAGTTTAATGGCATTGCCAGACAGTCGAGTTGTTTTCAAGTCTGCGTGTTTAAATGAGCAGTTAAGGTTTCAAAGAAACAACAATAAAATTATTGTATGTTTTGATGATTGGTCAATATATCTGTTTCTGGTGGAGATAAAGACTTTTTACATGGAGTATTAAAACAACAGTTTTTTCCTTTGGGGCGGGGTTCTTTGGGAACACTGAGAACAATTTAGTTGTTCTTGTATACAGCTCTTTTAACAACCTCGTTTTTTAAAAAAACTGTTTAATTCTGGCTAAATTGATGAGGTAACATCTAAACTGAGCTGTGACACAAACACAGTGGCATTTGCATTAACTGACATAAAACTATTAGACTGAATTTGTTTTAAGACAACAACAACCCACTTTGGTCTTTTCTCGTTCCAGACCAGCTGTATGGTCATTAATCAAATCAGAACTAGAAAAATTGCATTTTCTGTGAAAATGCAGCGTGAGAGCAAAACAATTTGTAAAGGGAGATAAAACTGAGTAATTTTAAAAATTAACAAATTTAAAACCAAAACCTCGTTAGAAAAACGTGAACTGAGGTAAGAATAAATGGAAAAGGCATCAACGGCAGACACATCAAAACATAGATTGACAGGTTTATACTGGCAACTGTTCAAACATTAAAACACATTTTTTTATTAAAAATGAAGGAAAAAACAGGCCTAGCTCAATATCTTTAAATGGTAAAATGGACTGCACTTACATAGCACCTTTCTATCTGATCAAGATACTCAAAGTGCTTCACACTGCAATCTGTGCCTCATTTACCCATTCATACAGCACTCTACTAGATCTCTACAAAGAATAATCAGTGCTTTATCACATTCATACACTGATGGTACACACATCAGAGGCAATGATGGGGTTCAGTATCTTGCCCAGAGGCACTTCAGCATGTGATGGTGGAGATGAACCCCCAACTCTTGCATTGGAGGACAACTGCTCTAACCACTCAGCCACAGCTGCCTCTATATTTAACTTGACTGATGGCTAAGATCGATTAGCAGAAGCAACCAACTTCAACGGGTTGACTCTGAAAGTTGTACTTCCTGTGATTACTTTTTAATAATTCATCCAGGGATTCTTAAGAAATGTTAGTAACAAACATACATATGCACACAGATGCACACAACATAAACATTATCAGCCTTCACCTTTAAGCAGCTGGCAAAAATAATCCGAACTAGAATTTTAACTACCGTATTTTCCACCGCACATGTCACACCGCCGTATAAGTCGTATTAGCTTCTCTCCACTGGCTCCCTGTCAAGTCCAGAATTTAAGTCAAAATCTTACTTCTAACCTACAAAGCTCTCAACAACCTAGCTCCATCTTATATTACTGATCTTATTGTTCCATATTTCCTAACATGGCACTTAGCTCTCAGACTGCAGGCTTACTTGTGGTTCCTAGAGTTTCCAAGAGCAGAATGGGAGGAAGATCTTTCAGTTCTCAGGCTCCTCTCTTGTGGAACCAACTTCCAGTTTCTGTCCATGAGGCTGACACATTGTCCAGTTTTAAGACTGGACTTGAGTCTTTCCTTTTTGATAAATCCTATAGTTAGGGTTGGCTTGTTATGCTCTCTTAAGCTTAGACTACAAGAGGACAAATTGACCTCATTTCCTTAAATGAATTGTTAAGCATGGATTATTGAGCATGCATCAAGATGTTAAAATTGAATAGTTTTCATTTTATACTATTTCTATCTTAACATGTGATTCTTGACCTGCCATTGTGTATCTGTTCTTCTCAAACCCAGGTGGTCAAAGCAGATGGCCGCTTGTCCTGAGCCTGGTTCTGCTAAAGGTTTCTTCATCATGACAGAGTTTTTCCTTTCCACTGTCACCTTCATGTTTGCTCAAGATGAGAGTTCTGTGGTGCAGTCTGCTCCTTAGATAAATAATGTTAAAGTATTATTTTATATATATATAAATGTTTCTGTTCAGTGCCCTGAGATGACTTCTGTTGTGACTTGGCGCTATATAAATAAATTGAATTGAATTGAATTTAAAAAGTCGCATCAGTTCCAAAATGTCTAATAAAGTGGGAAAAAAGCATAAATAAGTTGCTTTGCTGTATAAGTTGCATCTAGTATGCATCACCGCTGATGTGTCACGTTTGTTACGTGTCAACGCTGACCAGCCGGAAACGTGGGCCGGTGTTGTGCCAAAAATCGATTGGCTGCCAAATTGCAGCCACGGGAGCGGGCACGGGAGAACTTTAACAAGAATTGAACAAAATTAACACATAAATACAATTATTTGTTTGCTCACTTTATAATAAATGTGTGTCTCAGTTTAACTTTTCCTTAATAAATGCACTTTAATGGTCAAATTAACTGCATTTCGCCTGGGCGGTGCAGCAAAATGCAGCTGATTTCATGTTTGCTCCAGGAGTTCCGAAGCGAGACGAAGGTGGCTTTGTATGGCAAGCCAAGTGGCTCATTAGTAGCCACTTTTACCTATTAATGAGACACTTGGCTTGCCATATTAGTCGAGGGCCCTCTAGTGGCTGCAAATCATAATGTTTAATATTTTTCATGCCAGAATGAATCAAATCATCAGATCTCAGCCAAAAATTGGGTTATAAATAAGAGGGTAAAAAAAACTATGTTAGTCGCTTTGGTGTATAAGTCACAGGACTTGCAAATGTATGCAAAAAGGTGTGACTTATATGGCAAAAAATAGGGTAGTTGTGCTTTCTAAAAGGCCGGTAATGATACCATCAGAACTGATAAAATATATAAATGTGTTAATTCAGCTCATCTTGACGTTTTTCAGAGGCGTGTTGCGTTCACACTTTACCAAGGTTTTGGCACGTTAACATCTCTTGAACGCTCATTCGTCATTTAGCTGGTGTCACTTTCGGTCAGTAACCTGTGAAATTGCATGTTGGAACCTTTATATGGCCTGTAACATTGTCATCTTATTAAAGACCTTTCAGATTTATTTATTTTTTTATCTTCCTCTTCAGATTTCAAATCACAGACTTGGTGAGTGCAAGAGACAGAACAGACATACATTGAGGAAAGGCAGGCAGAAGAGGATGGCAGGGGATGCTTTTTTATTTTCTTTTGGGTGGGAGACAGGCTCATGCACAGACTTTTAATTTAGTGTCTTTCATCTTCAGCATGATTGACATTGTGTGTGTATGTGTACTCTGAGCAGTTGTGGCTAAAGCACAGCTTGTTTCATACGTTCATGTATCGTTTTCTTGTGTCGGCTGTTGTTCCTCCTAATGCGTGCATGTGTAAAATGCATATGAGTGTGTGGATCCCTGTGGCCATATGACCATTCAATTTGCAAACCGATCAGCTTATGTCTGCAAAGGGCAGCAAAGCACAGGAGTTGACTTCTGGGTGTGAGAGCCTCTACGCTTAACGTGCACTTTTTTATCAGCACTTCTGATGTCAGTTCATGTCTCTGTGGAGCGGCAAAGACACAGGAGGTAAGAACCTGCTGAGCGCATGAAGGCAGAGGACAGCCAGAGAGGATCTTTGTGGTCTTTTCTTTCACTCTCGGTCTTTCCTCTCTTCATCTGAATCATGCTTCAGAGAGTGGGACGGGGTTTAGAAGAAGTAGGCTGCAAGTAAATTAATGTCAAACAGGTGAAATATGATAGGAAGCTGTGTCTGTGTCTTTTTGTATCAGCTTAGTTGTAATGCACATCTACCTCTACCGGAGCTTAGTTTGCTCTGACTCATTTGTCAAATAAAGGTTGAAAATCTTGC